AATTATCTCAAATCCACTACTCCGTTATTCATGTAGAGTTCGGACTGAGGCCTTGTATTCCTTAATTAAAATATTCCTTAATTATACGCATTCCTTAATTGGAATCACAATCATATAGAGAAGTAAGTGAGTCTTGACTGCTCTCTTAAACTCGTGGTTCTTTAAAATAAATGATTATTTTAAGATGGGCCTATTATAATGATTAAATAAATGATTAAATAGGCCATGGGCCTATTTCTTCAGTGCCGACACTTCTATTCTATCCCTTTACCTTATGGAGATCAGACTCAAGGGGCTAACAATTACGACATCCTAATGAAATGTAGGAATTTTTTTCTCAAAAATCGAGATGATCGATTTCAGATCTTATATATTCAGTCATCCCTTCTCTTAAAATAATTCAAAGAATACGTATTTAAATATAAAAATATTATATAAACAGACAGAAACATGCCATGGTTGTAATTTTTATACCGCGTCCTGGCGCTGTAAGTCAAACGATGAACGACATTAACGATTAAGGTCAATAATGTAACAGCTAGTAAATAATTATGAAATTATGATTAATTGCAAATCTTCATAATTTACAAATATTGCATCGTAAATACAGATTAGTGGTGCAGTTTTTGCACGTGAGATATGGTAGGGAGACTTAATGAGACTAAGCAGAATTTTCGTTTCATTTGTTTGAGTTCTTAAGTTTACGGTTCAAAGTTTGAGATTTGAAGCAGAACTTTCGGCGCGATATTGTCAAGATATCGTAATTCTATACTACAAAATAGTGTAAGCCTGCGTGATCGTGTAACACGAATGCATTTTCAATGCAATAAAGGCTATGATTCATTACAAAAGGCATAGGAAATGCGCCGAATATTGTTTTAATGTGAGGAAAAATGACTTTAAATTTGCATTAAGCCCTTTTTTCGTGGAACTGCGAAATGGAATACCCAAATACCCAAACACTGCTACCACAGTCGCCATGAAATGCCCAAACACTGCTACCGCAGTCACCATGAAATACCCAAACCCTGCTACCACAGTCGCCATGAAATACCCAAACACTGCTACCGCAGTCACCATGAAATACCCAAACACTGCTACCGCAGTCACCATGAAATACCCAAACACTGCTACCGCAGTCACCATGAAATACCCAAACACTGCTACCGCAGTCACCATGAAATACCCAAACACTGCTACCGCAGTCACCATGAAATACCCAAACACTGCTACCGCAGTCACCATGAAATACCCAAACACTGCTACCGCAGTCACCATGAAATACCCAAACACTGCTACCGCAGTCACCATGAAATACCCAAACACTGCTACCGCAGTCACCATGAAATACCCAAACACTGCTACCGCAGTCACCATGAAATACCCAAACACTGCTACCGCAGTCACCATGAAATACCCAAACACTGCTACCGCAGTCACCATGAAATACCCAAACACTGCTACCGCAGTCACCATGAAATACCCAAACACTGCTACCGCAGTCACCATGAAATACCCAAACACTGCTACCGCAGTCACCATGAAATACCCAAACACTGCTACCGCAGTCACCATGAAATACCCAAACACTGCTACCGCAGTCACCATGAAATACCCAAACACTGNATCATTTAGGTATACAGGGAGACACTGATAAATGTTAAAGCAAATGCTTTTTCCATTTTCATTATGTTTTTTTTTCTGTCAAAAGCCAACATTATCGTGTTTATTGCTTTTACAGGAGTGTTGCCTGACGTCACAGGTTCGTACAGTGCGTGCTATTTCTGTCTCTTATACACATCTAGATGTGTATAAGAGACAGATGTTGACACGATATAAATTGAAATGATACCTATAGTGGGGCAACGGGCCCACGCGTGTCACGGGGCAAAGCGCCCATGGTGAAGTCTTGTGTTAAACATCATTAGATTTGTCGCAATGACCTTTTCAAAACTATGACTAGCTTTTTGAATTACAAATTACACTTCATACTGCATGATTTTTTGATTCACCGCCTCAAGGAAGCAGGTTTAGTTTCTAGTTATGCGTATGTAATGAAGTCTTGCACTTCATCGGGTTCGTTACTCGGGTGCATCAAACATCAGCCACCAAAAACTAATTTATTGAACAAGAACAATTATTAAACAGTATTGTTAGAACGATTGACACGACTCTAGACAAGCTAAATGCCCAGTCCAACAATTCACAATAGGGGACAAAGGTCGTAGCACGTCCCAGATCCTGGGAGCACGCGAAGATCCTTCCAAGCAAGTACTTGGAATACACGGTCCCGGAGGCAGCTTACGCTCATGACCCGCAACCCAATAAAGGCAGTGTAAAGCACAGCAGAAGAGTGGCGCAATAGGTCAACTAGGCCTAGAAATGGGTTGTTCACAGTACGACCTCCTCTTAACTATACGCCTAACGCACGGTATAGTCTCTCGTAAGAACGATTTCCTTTTGGTGTCTTCTAGTATGTAACTAACAACCTTACAGCGCATTTATGACCCTTTATCGAGTTATCGACTCTTGCCTAGCCAAAAGTTGATTTCATTCAACAGGGTTGGCTGAAATCACGATTAGGTACGAATTCTCTGCACATAATATCTGGATTATGGACGACACTGGAACGAAGTTTTTTTTATGATCAACTAAATACATTTTTTCTAGTCAAGGATACATTTCTTCATGTCAAGTACGAATTTTTTATCGCAAGGATATATTTTTCAAGTAAAGGATATATATTTTTATATCAATGAAAAATTTTTCTTTACGTCAGTGATAATTTTTTTAAGCCAAGAGTATTTATTTTCAAGTTGAGGATATGATTCTTTTGAGTTGTTAATAAATGAAATAATAAATAAAATTTAAACCAAGAGCATATTTTTCAAGTTTTTATTTTTCAAGCTATTTTTTATTACATTTTTCTTATTTTTAACAGTAAAGTGTTGTTTTATCATTTTTAAACGAAAAATATGCAATTGTGGTAAAGGGACCAAGGGTGGGCGCCTTGCCCCTAGCCCATGAGCCCATTGCTCAAGGAGTGGGGCCCCTAGCCCATGGGCCCATTGCTCCAGGGGTGGGGCAATGGGCCCATTTTGACTCTTTTTACAAAATAGTCTTTCATTAAAAATTGAATAACTCTATAGGCGTCTAATACACATCATATATTCCTCATTAGTTGTACTCTTAAACAAAACAAAGAACCACCTCGTATCAATTAAAACTTCATCAAAAATTTAGTTTAAAAAAAGAGGGGGTGCGCTGCCCCATGTTGCCCTACGAAGAAAAATGAAAAATCGAATGATGGATTCAACGAACGTAGCAATTATTTAGGAGCCGATGATGTTTAATTTAATGCTCCAATTCCTCGTAAACATATTTTCCGAATCATTGAAAATTATAGCAAAGTTATCGATGGGTAAATTACTATCAAAAGACTAATTTGGAAAATAACGGCTTACAAGCCTTCTGATGAATATAAGATTAAACTACATCGTCAAGTAAAAGATAAAATTCGAATATCAATGGCATACATGAATGGACGATTGGAAGAAGCAATGAGTCCTAATATTGGACTCTTACACCAAGTCCGGGAACTCAAAGACCTCGTTATGTCATTTTAGCATTTCAAGCCGGTAGAGGTAATTCACAACTTTCAAATAATGCACTGTTTGATCAATGTGCTTTAAAGAATGCATATATCAAGCTGAATAACGAAAGATATCCTGAACGAAACTTACAAATTGATTTCAATAATTACAAGCATGCAGTAGTTTATAAAATGATGATAGATTATGCATCACAGACAAATTGTGCAGTTGCATACAGAGATTATAGGTTTTTACATCCGATTTTCATATTGATATCAGCCGACAAGATTAAGGACAGTCTTATTGATGTGAAGATTAAAGCTGAATTCAATAATAACATTCCGGACAATGCACATGCCAATGCTGTGATTCTTGCAGACAGATTCATTCAATTATAATCTGATGGTGAAATAATAAATATAAGTTACTAAAAATTTAGAAATTCATACGCATTTATATAATTTTAAAATCATGTATTGAGTAAAGTGTCAAAAAAAAAACACTGAGCATGTTATAACAAAATGCACTCCCAAAAACACCTATGAAATGAAAGAGAGGAATTTTGAATCTGGATGTACGTAGAAAAGTGTTTTGAAACGCATTGGACTTGCTGTATAAGGAAAATTATAATCTGATGGTGAAATAATAAATATAAGTTACTAAAAATTTAGAAATTCATACGGATTTATATAATTTTAAAATTATGTATTGAGTAAAGTGTCAAAAAAATATACTGAGCATGTTATAACAAAATGCACTCCCCAAGACACCTATGAAATGAAAGAGAAGAATTTTGAATCTGAATGTAGAAAAGTGTTTTGAAACGCATTGGACTTGCTGTATAAGGAAAATATTAGTTGTTATTACTGTGATAGTTGTAGTTTGACATGTCCTAACGAGTATAAAAAGTACATGAGTACACGCAACATCATTTGGTCTGCTTATAGAATGCAAAAAATAGGTGAATCAATTTGTGGACATTTCTGTTTTAAAATGTTGAAACGACAAAAAATCTAATGAAGCAGGATTGGAATATAGGAGGAAATTAATAGTTTGCAGTGAGTCCTCTATGATAAAGTAAAAAAATTTAGAATTGCATATTGAAGAAAATTTCAAATTAGCTGCTGAGGAGATCCATATTGAGATCCAATTGATCCATATAGAGACCCAATTGAGCTGCTGAGGAGATCCATAGAGTTGGCGTTGGAAGATTTAATAATTGAAAAGCTTAAAACTTCAGAATGGTGGATTCACAAACTCAAGTTACAAATTAAAGGGGAAGATTCTTGTGCTGAAGTTGATCAGAAATACAATAGCTTGGAGTCGAATTCAGCTTCAATTAATGATGGTAAATGTAATAGCATAACAGAACAAATCACGAAGTTACGAGCGGAGTGAAGGAAATGAAAAATGAATGATATTATTAATGAGATGCCTCGTCTCATTAAAAATATCATCTATTTTTGTCATCGAAATATTACAAGGATATTAAAACATATTCCATGAATTTTGTTGAGATATTATGTCAAATAAAAATGAAATTAATCAACTTAAATTGATTCTAATGATAGAAAATAATAAAAACATGGAACTGAACAAAGTATTAACTGATCGCGTAAATAATTTAATAGCTTCAAGTGTTTGGAAAAGTTTGTAGGCCCTTGAAAAAAATTTCATTATTAAAATGAGTGAAGTTAATATATTCAGTACAAGAATGAATAGCACATCCACAGCACAGCTAAGAGGCCCTCCAGGTATTGGCCATGGACACCTTGACGCTGAAAAAAATTGGATCTAAATAATCGGAGACGTGCAATTATCTCCTGTCGAATTGAGGGTAGGAATGCCGCATGTAAAAGTTAAGTCGACGAGTCACTAAAGTCTCAGATGTTCGTGTATATGATTTAGAAAGGACCAATTAAAAAATTGATGCAGTTAGAGTGTCATGATGCATATTGTTCATTTGTGATGATATTGATTCGGAAAAGAATAATAACCCAGCTGATAGTTTTTACACTGGTAGAAGACACAATAACTGTAGCTCATTTTACTTATCCCGAAACCATCACATATATTACCAAGACAAACCATTTTGAACGAATTCAAATTTATTAAGTCTATTCGAATTACCTCTCATCGATACGAAGAATATTTAGATCGATTTTATTGCCTGCGATATGCATCAATAAAGATGAGCACCACGGTTCTGGGAATTATTTCAAAAATATAAATCAATTACATATTCCAAATGGGAATTATTTCAAAAATATAAATCAATTACATATTCCAAAGAAGTATCTTTACCAAAGTCACATTCTCTCTGGGTTATGTCTCGGGTTCTCGGCATGTTCAACCATGATCTAATGATGAGAACGGGGGTAAATGATCATGATCTAATCTTTTTGAACGGGGGTAAATGATCGTTAACCGATGATTTAGAGCGTTTGTGCAGACCTCAGCGAATATTCATCCCCAGACATCGATTTAGCTACTATTTTCCTACTCCAACTTTCCTAACTATATCAATAAATATATATAAACTGATATTTGTAATTATTCAAATAAGCCATGAAGAAATTATAGGAAGGAATTTCCCGACATTTCTTCCGTATCTATCTTAACATAGTTTAAACCGCAAAAGAATATTTGAAAATACCACGTTAGAAAAAAAAGGATTTTGAAAATGTGCAGAGTTAATATACATATTCTTATAGATAAACATATATATTATGCAAACATTAGTTCCGCAGCTTGCATGTATTCTTAGTAACATAAAGGCTGTCCCTTCCTAGACAAAATTATGTATGCATGTGTCGAAAATAGTGCACATAAGACATCAATAGTATTTAATTAACAATGTATGTGATAAATAATAATACTCACAGCAACTACGAATGCTAAGAACGTTAAAAAAATCTGGCCGTGAACAAACATAATTGTTGCAATTTTCATTTTGGATTCCAGTAAGCTAGATTATAGCAAAGAGAAGCTTGCACAAATTTTAATTCTCAGAAATCAAACCTCCTAATTTCTTCACTCAGA